TGTAGACAGAGGTGGGTTCCTACCAGTTCGCACCAGTTTGGTAGAACCGGTTCGTCAAATCTACCGAACTGGTTAGAAGAGGTTCCACCAGAAAGCAGGCCACACCTACAGAAGAGGTTCAAAAATTTTTTGAAACCCACCACTGACACACACACACACACATAGGCAGACAGACAGACAGACTCACACAGAGAGAGAAAGAGAAAGAAAGGAAGAAAGAAATAAAAAAAGAAAAAAGAAAAAGTGAGAGATGAAAGAAAAAAAGGAAAAAGGGACAGAGAGACAAAAGGAAGGAGAGAGAGAGAGAGAGAGAGAGAATACATGGCCGGCAAGCCTTTCCCACCAGGTCACATGGCTGGCAAGCCACTCCCACAAAGGAGGCCACACCCACAGAGTAGGTTCGAAAAAATTTTGAAACCCACCACTGGAGTAAATCCAACCCTACATAGCTTAAAACATATGGCTTTGTGTGGTATGTAAATTCAGACATTATAATCATAACATCCAATTCTTCTATGGTATGTTATTGTCACTTCCAAATCAAACACAACTTCCAGCAATAGTAAGAAGAATGGTCATACAGAACCCACAAATTGTTTCCCAATACTAAGGTTTGAACATTAATTTCCCTAAGCCACTAATTCATTTGATACTCCAGAGAGATCAAAACAATAGCAATATCATTTAGACCTATACCGCTTCATAGCGCTTTACAGCCCTCTCTAAGTGGTTTACAGAGTCAACTTATTGCCCCCAACAATCTGGGTCCTGATTTTGCCCACCTCGGAAGGATAGAAAGCTGAGTCAGCATTGAACTCCTGGAGTGAGCAGTTGAGTTAGCCTGCAGAACTGCAGTCTAAGCCAGAGGTGTCAAACCTGATTTCATTGAGGGCCGCATCAGGGTTGTGTTTGACCTCGGAGGGCTGGCGGTAGCAGTGACTGGGGGTGGGCATGCTCATGGTGGATGTTTGGCACAGGCTCAAGATGTGCTTTTTCCACTCTGCTGGCCAAAAACAGGCTGTGCGGAGGCCCCATGAATGCCGCCTCTAGAAGCACTCTGCCAGCCAAAAACGCAAGGCCCCCACAAAGCCCATTTTGGGCCGGCAGAGTGCTGCAGGAAGCCGTGGAGGTCAGAAATGGTCCGCATGGGGGCTGCATGTGCCCCCCTCCACAGCCCATTTTCACCAGCAGAGGCACCGCAAGCCAGTCCTTTGATATTTCCAGCCGGTCCTGCGGGCCAAATTTAAGCACCCCATGGGATCTGGCCCGTAGGCCTTTAGTTTGACATCCCTCGTCTAACCACTGTGCCACCAAGGTTCTTAAATAAACATTAGAAGACAGTATACATTGGATTAAAACTGTCCATCATAAGGAACCGATGGCCCTTCTACCTACGGGGCCATCTCAATAAGTAGAGGATTGAGTTCAATGCACCTTGCTTTTCCTAACGAGACCACCCGGAACAGATGTCAGGATGATGACAAGTATCATCAGAAGACTTGAAAATTAAGATATAGTCACGGCTGCCTGTCATCACCTGGAAGATGCCTCACTGACAACCTTTCCTGAAGGTCACATTCTCATGATTCAGTACAACCTTCCAGAGTCTTCCTAGCTTCATGATGATTTGCTCTAATATTAAAGCAGTGTCTTCGATCTTTTGGCATAAGCCCTGTCACATGCACAACTATGGCAATAATGGAGCAGCAACTGGGTCCTATCCAGCTTCTACCAGTTGTTTTTAGCAGACACAGAAATGCCTCCTCTCTCTAGTTGCTGAGAAGTTGGATAGCAGGAGTAACCAGGCACATTTGTTTGGTTCACCGACAAATGCGCGCTCGACAAAAGCGCACCGACGAAACCACGGCGAGAAAACCGCAAGTTCTAAATCGCGCCGACAAAAGCACGCCTTCAACAAACAAGTAATAACCGCGAGTTCTAAACCTAACCCTAAACTTAAACCTAACCCTAAACCTAACCCTGAACCTAACCCTTACCTTAACTGAAATCCCTAAACCAAACCCTGAACCTAACCCTTACCTTAACTGAAATCGCGCTTTTGTGGGCACGGTTTCGTTGGTGCGTTGTTGTGGGCGCGTTTATGACATTGCAGTTTTCTCGCCACGGTTTTGTCGGCGCGGTTTTGTCGTGCGCGCATTTGTCGGGTCACGCATTTGTTCATATCATGAGTGACCCACAGGCTCATGCATGCAGTGTAATGGTCCAATCTACTAAAAGATGCCCAGGTGAAAGGTGGCTTATACCGCAGAGCAACACTGGCTAAAGAGGTGGGGGTCTACCTACTAACACCTGGCAAAAACCTCCTGTTTCTGACAAAGCAAAACAGATAACAAGAGAGCTTAAGTGAGGGAGGACAGGCAATCAGGCAAGAAAATCAAACCAGCAAGAATTAGAATAACAGAATGCAAGAAAAGCAAGTTATTGAGAAGCAAAACAACCAAGAGCTAGCAAGAATATCCGCATATCATCCTGTTAAAATAGAAGAGAGGGTTTTTTTTCTATTGCTTTACTAGAAAGCTTCCACCTGTCCAAACTACAGGTAGTCCTCAGCTTACAATCATTCATTTAGTGACCGTTCAAAGTTACAAAGGCACTGAAAAAGTGACTTATGACCATTTTTCAGGCTTACGACCGTTGTAGCATCCCTGTGGTCACGACCCAAATTCAGAGGCTTGGCAACTGACTCAACTTTATGACAATCCCAGGGTCACGTGATCACCTTTTTCAATCGTCTAACAAACAAGAGCAAATGGGGAAACCAGATTCACTTAACAACCATGCTAGTTACTTAACTGCAGTGATTCACTTAACAACTGTGGCCAGAAAGGTCATAAAATGAGGCAAAATTCCATTAACAACTGCCTGGAGTTTTGCTCCATTTTACGATCTTTCTTGCCACAGTTGTTAAGTGAATCGCTGCAGTTGTTGTTAAGCGAATCCAGTTTCCCCGGTTGCTTGTCAGAAAGTCGCCAAACGTGACCTTCTGACCAACATGACCCTGGGACACTGCAACCGTCGTAAATATGAGTCAGTTGCCAAGCCTCCAAATTTCGATCACATAACATGGGGATGCTGCCATGGTCCTAAGTGTGAAAAATGGCCATTTTTTCAGTGCTGTTGTAATTTCAAAGTCACTAAATGAACTGTTATAAGTCAAAGACTACCTGTATGTGTATATATACTGTATTTCTCAGAGTATAAGATGCACCTTCACCCCGCTAAAAGAGCATGGAAATGTTGGTGTGTCTTATACACCGAATACAGCCATTTTTGGCCTCCCAAAGCCAAATTCTTTCTGAAAAATGGGTGGAAGACGGGAGGTTTTCCACCAAAACAGGGGCGTTTTTGCCTTCCCCCAGCCCTGCTGAATCCTGCAGAATGCTTCTGGGGGGCAGGGAAGACAAAAACTTTTTTTCCTTACTTACTTCTTCGAAATCTTGGTGCGTCTTATAGTCTGGAAAAATACGGTAACTAAGCAAGTGAACACAGAAGTCTTTTTCCTTTCCCTTGCAAATCCACACACAGGACTCACCGAATATATTTCCGCATGTACTTGTTGCAGAAATCAGCTGCTGCCACCCCGCCGTGCCCATCGAAAATGGCAAAATACAGGACCTCCTCCGTCAGCTCGGCGTAATCGAAACGGTCCTCGTTTTCCTTCCGTTTCCCAATGTGGGTGGCGCAGCCCACGTTTGACAGGCTGATCTTGGGAATCAGCTTCCCATACTTGATGCTGGGTGGGAGCAAGATGGGCTCGTCCAGGCGGTTGTCCCAAATCCCAAAGGAATCCCAGGTGGCGGGGCAGCCGCTCCCATCCAGATCGAAACGCGAAGCCTTGCAGTCGTTGGTGGAAATCTGGCACTTGGGGCTGAGAATTGCACAAGATGTAAGCAGGGCCCTCTGCAGCTGGTGGCCTCTATTCCGAACCAGACCGATTAAGGCCGCCGTGGACATCACTCAATGCCAGAGAAGGTGATGAGGAACAAGACAGTGGGAAGCCGGCTTTGCAAACGTCGAAAGTGGAGCCTGAGGAAAGAAAACAAACGAACAGAACAGAATTGATATCCAGAACATCTTCCCCACCTGTAATTAAGAGATAAAATCTCTCATAAATTGAGCTCAGCTCCTAGGGACTACATTGGTTCATGTTGTTATCTTGGCAGCAATATGGCCGTGGTTTCCATGGAAACCTCTTGCTGGCCAGGTTCTTTTAACAGCTACGCTGTAAATCGGCTGCTTGGCCTCAGCTTAACATGTTATGGATGTAAACCATGATATATAAACCACGATTTGGGGGGTATGATGCAGGGGGTGAAATCCAGCAGGTTCTCAAACCTTCTGGAGAACCAGTAGCAGAAATTTTGAGTAGTTCGGAGAACCGGTAGCAGAAATTTTGAGTGGTTCGGCAAACCAGCAAATGCCACCTCTGGCTGGCCCCAGAGTGGGCTGGGAATGGAGATTTTGCCGTATCCTTTCCCTGCCACGCCCTACCAAGCCACACCACACCTACCAAGCCATGCCCACAGAACCGGTAGTAAAAAAAACCCTTGAATTTCACCACTGGTATGATGCGTTCTTTTGACACAGCCAATTGGCAATTATTCAATGAATGCAGAGCAAGTGGTATAAGGCTCAAGTCCACATGAAGGCTTCAAACGTTTGGGTTGAAGTGGGGCAGCTTTACTGAAAGATTCCCACCTGGTCTCATAGATCATCTGTTCGTCTATCTTATTTTGCTTGTGGAGTCAGTAGGGAACAAAAGCCTACTCAACAGCTAAGAATAAAGGCTGGGGGGGGGACTGTTCCAGGACAGTTGACTTACAGCCATTCTCTATAGTGACCACTCAAATTTACAACAGCCCTGGAACCAGTGACTTACAACCAGTATTCACATTTACAACCGTCACAGCATCCTGATAGCCACACAATCCATGATGCGGTTGGCAATTGGCATGAATCCTGGGCAAAATCTGTGTTATTTGTGCATGTTATTTTAATCTTGTATTTTATATTTTGCATTTTACACGACATAAAATGCCTTGTTTTAGTTGTGACATGACTAAACAAACAAACTCCGGGTGTCCCTAAGTCATCGGATTGCCATTTGTGGGGTTCCCAGCCGGCTTTCAATAAGCAAAGACGAAGAGGGGGGGAGCCATATTTGCTTTGCAACCATGTAATTAATTTCATAACTGCAAGTGATTTGCTTAAAAACCATGGTGACAAAGGTCAGAAAATTGGATGTGGCTCACTTAACAACCACCTTGCTTAGCAGTGGAAGTTGTGGCCTCAGCTGTGTGGCCGACAACAACCGAGGACAACATATAAAGCAGAGTCTATCTGATAAAACTCTTCCAAGGCCTACAGTAGTGGTTTTGGGTTTCTATTTTTTTTACTACCAGTTCGCTCTTGTGGCACATGCATGCTTACACGTGTCGGTTTTGTGCATGTGCGCAAGGGTTCTGTGGATGCGTAGAAACATCCGGGCGGGTAGGTGGAGCCTCCTGCCACCACCACTATCAGTTCGTCAGATCCGGGCCAAACTAGCAGAAAACCACCTCAGGCCTATATTAATCTTCCCTACCCCATTGACTCTCAAAGGATTACCTGTTCCATAGGCCTAAGAAGTGTTTTAACAGATAGCTAGACGCTCAGGTCCAGTCATCTGTCAATGCCAGCTGCCAGCCCCAGCAATGTTGTGATGACGGGCAGATTTGTTTCACACCAAGTGGTGATGTACAGAGAAAGCTTAAAGCCATCAACTTTCACCAAGAGCTTTCCCTCACACTTCCTGCGCATTTGAAATCAGGACACCGCTATTTGAAAGCAAGTTAGAACAGAGGGTATAAAACACAATATGGATGGGCACTAGTCTTCTGCCAGCTCAGCCATGTAGAAAAGGCTCTAAAGAACTTGAAAAATTACTCATTTGCAATATATTTAGCTGGTTTTTTTGTGCAAGAGAGATTTATTTTTATGTACAAGCCAATCCAGTTAAGGGAGAAGACATTTCCAGAAAGAAAATGCTATTTTCTTCTTCAAACAGTAGAGAGAGAACGGACTGTCTCAAAGCCATCCAATTAGGCTTTTTCGTGACTAAGGCTCCTAATCCATCATCTTAATTACTAGACCAAACTGGCTCTTATATTTTTATTTGTGCATGTATAAATTATCAGGACTGTTGCGAAAAGAAAATCAGAGACTCTACTTTTCCTGAAACAGTTTTCCAAATCTATATGGTGGACAGTCCCTTGTGTGTTTCTACAAAGAAATAAATCTCTCTATCCCGCAGGTCAACCTCCGTGCAATTCTGTTACTGAGAATTTAGAGTAATGAGAGTACTTTAACCTCAGTTTGGGTAAATCAAGGTAACGGTTCCCCTCACACATATGTGCTAGTCGTTCCTGACTCTAGGGGGCGGTGCTCATCTCTGTTTCTAAGCCGAAGAACCAGCACGGTCCGAAGACGTCTCCGTGGCAATGTGCCACCATGACTAAACTCCAAAGGCGCACAGAACACTGTTACCCTCCCACCAAAGTGGCCCCTATTTTTCTACTTGCACTTTTTACCTGCTTTCGAACTGCTAGGTTGGCAGAAACTGGGACAAGTAACAGGAGCTCACTCCGTTAGGTGGGTGCTAGGGATTCGAACCACCGAGCTGCCTACCTTTCTGATCGACAAGCTCAGCGTCTTAGCCATTGAGCCACCAGCCATCAGCTTGGGTAGTAAAATATTTTTTTAAATGTTCTTACAATGCAGATCAAACATTGAGTAATCTGGGGGATTTTTACCTTGAGAGTAGAATCTTCCAGTCGCCACTCAAGAGAAACTTAAATGAGCAGCCCAGCACCTAAAGAGTTAAAATAAGTTCAGTCAAAATTCTTTTCAAAAGTTATACAAGAGGGAGGTGAGGAAATCAGAAGAGTGGCCTTGCTTGCCAAATTCTATCAAGCATGACTAATGGAAATTTTTTCAGGAATATATCTACGTACTCTAAACCAGTGTTTTTCAACCACTGTGCCGCGGCACACTAGTGTGCCGTGACATAGTGTAAGGTGTGCCGTGGG